AGTCGCAGTGGAGACAACCTTCGCCGCATTTTCCTCAAGGAGAACCTTACTCTTATCCTCATATCCCGACGCACCCTCACCACCCACCGTTTAACGCCGGCGCCAACGGTAACAGTCAGTATCCTCCGTCTGCCGGAGCGCCGCTTCCTCCACCACACCCTCAGGCTAATCAGGTTACCACGGTTGCTAGCTTGAGTGTATTCCCCCGTGTCGAATTGTTAGTTTTTGATTTGATTCTTATTTTTGCATATTAGGAATGGCGAAACCAGAATTGGGGGTATCACCAAGGTCACGCCTCTCAAGGTTCGTTTTCTTCATCGCCATTCTTATGTAATTGAGTGAATATTGGGGTTCTGCTTCTTCTGACTATCTCGTGATGGCAGCTAACGAGAATCAAAACTCGCAATCTGCACCTAACGGACAACAGTACCACAACCATGGCTATCAAGATGTTCATCAACAGGGGGTTCCAGGATCAAGCTATCATCAGTTTCCAGTTCCACCTACGACACAGCCAGAGATGTATCCAAATTATGCAACAGGAAACGAGAGTTTTTCTGCTGGATTGTCACATCTAGAAAACCTACCTACCAGTTCAGTTAATCATCAGCAGGAGGTACCTTATAGTTATTCTTCTGTAGCAGGTAACCATTTACTTAAAACATCATTCTAGCTCCTAGTCAAGCACTCTATGTGTGGGTTTCCTTGTAACTTTAAGTTCCACTGGTCTCTTTAAAGTTTCCCTGTCCTAAGTACATGATATACCATGTGCATAGTGATGTACTGTGTAATTTATGGGTACTTGCTCGCGAGAACAACCCATATATCCTAGTGGTAAATTAGCCATTACTGACCAAACAGCGTGCCTCTGTTTCTCATTTTGGCTGGTCTAGAGATTGGTAACACTTACTAAGCTATGAACACCTCCAGAACTTAAACTTGATAATCTGCTTGCAGGTAAAGTAGAATCTGGCAATGCAACACAACATGAGATGCAGATATCAGTGCCTGATGGTGGGGGATCTGTTCGTGTAGAGCAGCAAATGCAATATGCATATGGAGATCAAGCAGCCGCTCCACCTAATAACCTTAATGATCAGCCTCTGCAGTTTGCTACCAGAGAGACTTCTGATTATGCTAGTTTTCATAATGCATGGACACCCCATGCCGCAACCGGAGTAGTGTATCCTCCAATCCCTTCATCGGTACCGTCAATACCACAGGTACTCTTAACGATTTTTTGGTTATCTTTCATTTTTGTATTAGTTCGATGGACGCAAGTTCAATGTTTGCTTTCTTTGCAGCATGACACATCTATGGCTATGCCTTCTGTTTCGGGTCATACCATGCCTCCATTTGGAAGTTTTCACCCACTAAATAACCAGCCTGTTGGACCTCCCTATGCTTTTGGCACAAAGCCGCCTCTTCACCCTGTTGCAGCGTTTATGGACGACTCATATGCAGCATCATCTGTTCCTACTAAAAAGGTAAGAATTAATTGTTTCTAGAGGAGTTTAGTACCTTCCATGAGTTCTTGCTAATAAGCTGGTTTCTAGGCTCCTGTACCTAACTGGCTCAAGGAAGAATTATTGAAGAACAAAGCTTCTCTTGGAAGGCCTTCTTCAGGGAGTTTTGAGGAGAAAGACTCTATAGACGATGATGTAGTTTATAAACCTCCCTCAAAAGTTGAACAGCCTGATGACAAAAGCTTCAGCCCCTCTAAATCCTCCGACGAAGAAGAAGAGGATGAGGTTCCTTGGAAGTTTTATCACTTGTTTTATAACTTGTTTTTTAATGACGACTCAGGCTCCCATGGTACTTACAATTTGATTCACCACCATCATTTAAATGCATGGTTTGCTACATGTAGGATGAGATGGATGCAGCTAGAACCGCAGCAATTCACTTGGAGATAAAGCGTATCTTGACTGAAGTTCTTCTTAAGGTAGGTGGCCTGATAGAAATTTGTCTATAAACACGTTTCTGCACCAGTTGACGTATGTCTTTTGAACAGGTTACAGATGAATTATTTGATGAAATTGCAACCAAAGTCATTAATGAAGATGAAGCAATACCTAAAGGTTTGTTGTGGTCTCCAAGATTTAGTTTTTTTGTTATTAATCTGTGTGGAATAACTACTAAATATACCATCCTTTTGCTCTTATGCCGTGCTATTCATCATTGCTTCAGATGACAGTGTCAATGATAAGTCAGCATCTTCCCTTTCCTCGGCAGCTGATCCAAAGCACAAGGCTTCAGCAAAGATTTTGGTCTTGGTAGGAGGCGCAGATAAAAAAGCTGGTTCTGGCTCTCCTGCAGATGTGCTAGGTCTTGCTAGCTATGCCTC